GCCTTAGGGTTTGTGGTCAGGGTTAGGATGTAGGAATGTAATGGAAGTCAATAGAATGTCCCCATAGACTCGTGTTTAAAACTTTCTATATAAATAAATCAATCTAAATCTGATCTAACCGCTCTGTTTAGAAACAGATCTTTAAAGTAAAAATCTCTCTTCATGCAGGAAGTGACTTTATGAGTCAATAATAAATCAAAGTCCACCCTGTGTTGATAAGAAAACGAAATGTCAGAGAAGTTTAAAGTTCATTTCTACACTTGTCCCTGGAGCTGAGAGGCTTTACAGAGTGAAACTACAAACTGTTTAATGGACTGAGCCTTAAGGACGGATGTTTGGTGAGTCTGACTGTTGACAGGTTACTAAAGTTTGGAGGAAATGTCGAAGAAACACACTTCTTTGAAAAGTTTCCTGAGCTGCTACATCTGTTCAGAGACTTTCACAGTTCCTGTGTCTCTGAGCTGCGAGCACAGCTTCTGTTCCAGCTGCCTGCAGAAGTTCTGGGAACAAACTGGAAACAAGAACTGTCCCATCTGTAGAAGGAAGTCTTCATACGACGTCTTAGTAAATTTTACTCTGAAGGAATCTGAAGACTGTTTTGCTGGACGACAGAAATCTGGATCCTGTGAGAAGAAAGTGGAGGAGGTGTGCAGCGAACACCAGGAGGATCCTGTAGTGTTCTGCAGAGACGAGCAGACAGCTGTGTGTCCTGTCTGTCCTGCTTCTCTGCACCACAAACACAAAGTGGTTCCTGTCCAACAAGCCGTCAGAGAGCTGAAGGAGCAGCTGAGATCGGACCTAAAGTCTCTGCAGGACCAGAGGAACAAACACAAACATGTGGAGCAGACATACAACGATGTGATCCAACACCACAAGGAGCAGCTGCTGTCCACAGAGACACACATCAGAGCAGAGTTCAACAAGCTCCACCAGTTCCTCAGACAGGAAGAGGAGTCCAGACTGGCAGCTCTGAGGGACGAAGAGGAGCAGAAGAGGAGGACWGTCAGCAGAGAGATGAAGARGATCCAGGAGCAGATGTCCTCTCTGTCAGACAGSATCTCTGCTGTTGAAGAGGACCTGCAGAAAGACAACGTGTCCTTCCTCAGGTCTTATAAAGACACCAGAGCCAGAACCCAGAGCTCACTGCCAGATCCACAGCTGGTCCCAGGAGTCCTGATAGATGTGGCCAAACACCTGGGAAACCTGGCCTTCAGRGTCTGGGACAAGATGAAGGAGCAGGTCCACTTCAGTCCTGTCATCCTGGACCCAAACACTGCCCACAGACGTCTGTGTGTGTCTGCTGACCTGAGCAGTGTGAGACTGGGAGACACCGAGCTGCAGCTTCCTGACAACCCAGAGAGAAACAGGAAATACTCCAACGTCTTTGGGTCTGAGGGCTTCAGCTCAGGAGAGCACAGCTGGGAGGTGCAGGTGGGAGATCATCCTCACKGGCTCATCGGCTGCGTTAAAGAGTCCGTGGACAGGAAGGGACCGTGTCCTGCTTCACCACAACATGGAATCTGGTATTTGTTGCATAAAGATGGAAACTACACGAACGGTGCTGGTAAAGCTGTGTCAGTGAAGAAGAGCCTGCAGAGGATCAGGGTCCAGCTGGACTATGACAGGGGGGACGTGTCCTTCTACAACTCTGAGGACATGAGTCTCATCTACACTCACAGAGACACGTTCACTGACAAACTGTTTCCTTATTTCAGTGTTGGGAAGTCTGCAGACGCCCAAACCTCTGATGTTCACATCTGTCAAACTAAAGTTTCTCTTTTAAATTCATGAGGTTTTTTATCAGCATTGAGGGTTTTTTGTTTGTTCATCATGGATATTTTTATTTTTATGGATTTGGTTAGCTGGTCTCTCAATAAAATGTTTGGAACAAAGTTTTTCTTCTTCCATGGGAGGACATGTCAAAGGTGGGACCTCTGTTTTACCCTGTTCTGGATATAAATCTGGATTCTGATCACTGGATTCTACAGATTGACTGGGTGGTCTCCTGGTGGTCTACAAAACAACATCGGTGGCTTTTCATCTCCTGGCTGACTGACCAAATAGATGGACGGCTGTATTCTATCAGAACGCGGACATTTTGCTTTGAGCGAACTGGACTTGGTCTGCAAATGGTTCTATTGAGGGTCGCGAGCCAGCTGTGGTCCCTGGACTTTGCTGGTGAGATGGAATTTATCTTGGAGGAATCTGATAGATTCGGGCTCGGCAGAATTTGTCCACATTATTTTGTCTGATTGGGATCACCACCTTGAGATGTACCAGCTGGAACTCTAAAGCAGATGGAAAATTGTTGTCGTCTACCTGACTCTTCTGTTCCCAAAACAACTGATTACAGAATCTGGATCTCCCTGACAACAGCCTTGATCTGTTGACTAAATTCTTCCTGACTGGATGTGTCGACAAAGGCTCTGCCCCGCACCTTCCCCCGTCCTCTCACCAGTCTAATCTGCTTTTCCTGAGCAGGCTGAAAGCTGCACAGTATGAACAGTTTCCATAAATATTTCTGAACTATGGCTGCGCTGGTTTGGGGGACTGGATTCTTCAGGCCCCTTAAACTCAATTACTCCTCTGCCTAATAAACTTGCCCTATGCAGAGGTTTTTTTCATAAACACCATGGTGTGTCACAGTGTTGATATAATATGATGTATTACCCCTAATTNAGCAGTAGTAGTAGTAGTAGTAGTAGTAGTAGTAGTAGTAGTAGTAGTAGTAGTAGTAGTAGTATTTGGTGTATGTTTAATCTAAATGGTTCATCTTTCACAGTCTGTTTTCTTCCTCTTATCCAGGGTCAGGTCTCAGGTACAGCAGCACAGAGACCCAGACCTCCCTCTCTCCAGACACTTGGACCAGCTCCTCTGGGGGAATCCCAAGGTGTTCCCAGGCCAGCTGAGAAACATAGTCCCTCCAGCGTGTCCTGGGTCTTCCTCTGGGTCTCCTCCCAGTGGGACGTGTCCAGAACACCTCACCAGGGAGGAGTCCAGGAGGCATCCTAACCAGATGAACCACCTCAACTGGCTCCTCTGGACGTGGAGGAGGAGCGGCTCTACTCTGAGTCCCTCCTGGATGACTGAGTTTCTCASCCTATCTCTRAGGGAGAGCCCAGACACCCTGCAGAGGAAACTCATTTCAGCCGCTTGTATCTGTGATCTCCTTTCAGTCACTACCCAAAGCTCCTGACCATAGATGAGGGTAGGAATGTAGACCGACTGGTAAACCAAGAGCTTCACCTTCTGGCTCAGCTCTCTTCACCACGACAGACCGGTACAACGCCTGCATCACTGCAGACGCAGCACCAATCCGCCTGTTGATCTCCTGCTCCATTTAGATTGACCTTTTTGGTCAATATCAGGGTGGATATAGCTCACTAGCATCCTCGCACCGAGGACCTATCCACATCATCATTTACCCAGAATGCTTTGTGTGTAAATAAAATGGC